CCCCTCCTCTCTTCCTGTTTATGAAACCCTGATCCCTCCCGGATCCCTCATGCTCCCCTGGCCAGAGCTTAGGCAGGATGTGACTGTGGACTTTGGGGAGCCTCAGGCAGCCTCAGGTGTTGGGAGGAATTCTCCTCAGTTTGGCCAGAGCAGGTCAGCCACCCTCTTAGCACCTGGGACTTGGTGGCTGCGCTTTGTCCCTTCAGCCCACCCCGGGGGAGACCCCATAGCCAAGACTACCTAACTAAACAGGGAGAGGTTCTGTTTACAGCGTTTCTTTCTCTCTGTTGCCCATTTTGCTTCTAGAAACAACTTCTGGGGTGGAGCATGTAGTTTTAACCTTCATCTTACAGAGGAGGAAACTGAGGTTCAGACAGAGAAAGAGATTTGTCTGGAAGCACTCAGCTAGTGAGTAGCCAGTTCTTCTTGGCTTCCCATCCTGCGCTCCTGGCCTAAAGCCTTTTGCTGAGTGTCTTTTTTCTTCCTTTCTGCGTGTCAACACCTGTTTATCCTCAGGATCCAGCTGGACTGCCCCTTTCTGGAAGGTCTTCTGGATCTCACCCCCTGGCACATAGCCACCACCTCTAGGCATTCCCCCAACACCTTGATTGCAGCTGTCACGGGATAGTTGTGTTTTGTTATCATGTATTTTGTTTAGAACCATCTGAAAACAAGGCCAGGATACCGCCTTGTGTCTGCTCCTGGCTTGGGACACAGCAGGGAGCCAGGAGCAGTAAATGACCCAGAGGGAAGGTAGGCAAGTTGACCTTGTAGGGAAGGTAATGATGAAATGCCTGACTGTAGGCTTTGGAAGCAAACAGACTTTGATTTTGTTTTAGCTCTTCCCCTTTCTAACCATGTGGCCTTGGGAAGTCATTTTTTTCCCTGAGTCTAGTTTTCTCATCTCTGAAATGGGGATGACAATTCTTCCTTTGGAGTTAGGACACAGGATCTTAGTCTCAGTGCCAAACACAGGCCTTGGCAAAATCCACATTGCAAGACTGAAGTAAAGAAAGACCATCTAGGAGTGGATTGCCTGAGCCCACAGGTTTGAGAGAAGCCCGGACAACTTGGCGAGACCTCGTCTCTACAATAAATCAAAAAATAGCCAGGTGCAGTAGCACACACCTATAGTTCCAGCTACTTGGAAGGCTGGGGCGGAAGGATTGCCAGAGCCCAGCAGGTCAACACAGGTGGCTATGAGTGTGCTACTGCACTCCAGCCTGGGCGACGGAGTGAGACTCCATCCAACTCAAAAAAAAAGAATGACCATGTGCAATATCTGCTTAATCAATAGGAGGCACAATTATCACAACTCCATGCCAGTCCTGTCCTAGTGACTGAGGTCAGCTCCCCACAAGAGATGCCTGGGAGCTTCAGACCCCTTCTCACCTTCCCAGAGGCATGCTGGGAGATGCATCTGAGGACATCTTTCCCACCAGAGAGAGTAGCACCTGGGAGGCCCTGCACATGCTGCCAGCTGGGGAAGGGACTGTTGGTCTGTTAGGGCCAGGACTGCCAGGTTGGCTTGGCTACAACTAGCAGAATGAGAATGGGAATGCTAGGGGCCAGGCATCAGATTGGGGGGCTCTAGGCTTCTCTCCCAGCTGCCCTGTGGGAGGAAGTAAATAAAGAGGAAGTCTCTATGGGGTGATGGGGCAGGGACCAAGGGATGTGGGCTAGTGGCTGTCCTCCCCCCTCCTGCCACCAGAGGCCTCAGGCCCCACATACATTTCAGCAAAGGCAGTTCTGAGACGATTTCCTTCCTGTCACTCCTTCTGGTACTCTGCTAGCCACAGAGGTTCTTTCTCTGCTTCTGAGGGACCAAGGGGGGTTGGGGCAGAGAGCTAGCACTAGCGCTGGACCCTCAGAGAGCTTTGGAGCTCCTAGGGCTGCCCCAACCTCCAGACCCCTGCTTTAAGAAGAGGGGGAGCAATGAGAGACTCAGTCCAAGGGAGGTATCTTTCGTAATCACCCCACAGAGACTTATTAGAAGCTCTGCAAAGGCAGGGAAGGGGAAGTCTGTGTACATTAGGGCGTATATTTCTACATAGGGGATGTGTGTGGAAAGGGCTTCCGATAATCAGTCTGAGTGTGTGTTTGTGTGTGTGTGTCAGTTCCTGTGGGTGTACTGGTGTGAGTGATGAGGTATGCCACAAGGAAAGGGGCTGGGCCTAGTCAACCCCTGCCCCATGGCTGCCTGCTCCTCAGACCTTGGTATAGGTCCTTGCTTGGGCCTCCTGCCCATCCTGGGGCCTGGACCGGCAGGCTTCTTCACGACATCTGTGCAGGGGCAGGACCTGGTCCAGTGGTGTCTGCTCTGTGGGCTGCCATTCTGGGTAGATCCAGCCACAGAAGGTCGCTACGGGAGAATGAGTGTCTAAGCTCTGTACTGGGGCAGTCATACTATGGTTTTACTGATTTCTGCCTCACATTCTCTCAGGGTCCCTCCGGTGGGGTACACATGTGAGTGCTGGATGCCCACTGTGTTGCTGCCTCATTGTCTTGTGACTTCTGTCTCTGTTTTGTCTCCACTCCTTAGGGTCAGAGGAGATAGGGAGGAGTGTACTCCTGAACTCTCCCCGGGGACATGGGCTTGGGGTCTGCGGTATTCCTTCCTCAGCAGGAGATCCTGGCCCATCTTCTGTCCCTCCTCCCTTCAGAGGGGGAAGTGAGAAGGAGGGAGGCCAGAGACCCTGCCTTCTGGGCCAGGAAGGCTTTAAAAAAAAGCAGAAGTAAGAGGAGTAACAGGCCCCTCTGGCTACTGGCTTGAGCCCCACCATGCAGACCCCGGCAGATATGCCCAGGGTTGAGAGAGACTTGGTCCCCTGTCCCAGAAAGGTGAGCAGAAGGGTGGCCTGTCTCCAGCAATGTCAGTCACTGTGATTCTGGGTGAGGATTGGGTTTGGGGTGACTCTGTCCCCCTGGGATTTCCGGGTGGCTGCCTTTGTCCCCAGGGAGTGTTCTTAGTCAGAGGCAGACAGATGACGTGGAGGCTCAGATCTCAGGGTGAAGTGGGCAGGAATTGCTGTGTGGCCCTGACTTACTTCAGCCCCTCTCTGAGCTAGGCTTTCTGCCTGTTCCACCAGAAGGTTATACTCAGGGGCCTGATGGGCCTGCAGCTTTTGTGTGTGTGTGTAGGGGGGTTGTTGCACCTATTCCCTCATCTATCAGGGAGTGTTTCCTGAAGATAGGGTTATGTCTCTGTGGATCAACACCAGTGGGAGGTTCTAGACTAACCCTAGTACTGAAAGAGAGGGAGGACTTGGGTAGTCAGAAAGTGGCTCTGGCTGACTTACCTGCCCACCCTTTCCCGGCACTTGAGGCTTCCTGACCCCAGGCCAGGTAGTAACCAGGGGAGATACTTCGGGTCAAGCTGGCTCTGCCACTGGTTTGCTTTGAGCCTGGGTGAGTCACTGTTCTCTGGACCTCAGTTTCCTGTTGTCGAAATGGGGATAACAGCTTTTAGGATATTTGGATGAAAGCCAAAGCCGTCAACTTGCACTCAGGAGATAGCCCTCTCAGCCACTATCTGGGCCTCTTTCAGGTTCTGAAATGGGAAGAAAATCCTGGGAAATGGAAGACCTCAGAAATGGGTCTGCCACAAATACTGGCCTGCTCTCCCAAGTGCAGATTGTGTCCCCTCATCTCTTTCCCACCCCCAGGTACACCAGCAAGAGCCCACAGTTCTGCCCTTAACTCTTCCTGGGGATCCTGCCCTGCTTCCTGCCTGTGTGTCTGCTGGATGTCAGACTTTGTCTTTCCTTAAGAATATGTCAGTCTTCTTAGGCCTTGCTGACTCTGGCTGTCTCTCTCTGCTTTCTCTGTTGTTGCGTCCCTGTCTCTGTCTTCACATGATGAATGCCTGTCTTTGCCTGTTGGGTACATGTCACATGTTGGGTACCTGTTGGGATCATGTTCCCATCTGTCTCTGCCAGTGAGTTGGTATTTCCTTCTGTCTCTGCTTGTTGAGTACAAGTCCCCATCTGTCTCCACTTATTGGATGTGTGTTCCTTCTGCCTCTGCCTGTTGGGTACGTGTTCCCCCCGTCTCTGCCTGTTGGGTACATGTCCCATCTGTCTCTGCCTGTTGGATATATATCCCCATCCATCTCTGCCCGCTAGGTATATGTCCCCTTCTGTCACTGCCCATTGGGCTTGTATCCCCATCTGTTTCTGTCTTTTGGGTACATGTCCCCATCTACGTCTGCCTGTTGGATCCATTTCCCCAACTGTCTCTGCCTGTTGGGTATGTGTCTGCATCTGTCTCTGCCGTTGAGTATGTATTGCCATCTGTTTCTACCTGTTGGGTTTGTATCCCCATCTGCTTCCACATGTTGGTATAAGTCTCCGTTCACCTCTCTCTGTTAGATATGAGCTCCCTTCTGCTTCTCCTTTTTGGGTACATGTCCCTCTCTGTTTCTACCTATTGGATATCTGTTTCCTTTTGTCTCTGCCTGTTGTGTATATGTCCCCGTCCTTCTCTGCCTGTTGGATATGTGTTCTCCTTGCCTCTGCTCGTTGGTTACACATCCCCATTCATCCCTGCCTGTTGGGTATGTATTCCCTTCTGTTTGTGCCTGTTGGATACATGTCCATATCCATCTCTGTCTGCTGGGTATGTGTGTCCTCCTGCTGCTGCCTGTTGGATGCCACTCTTATCTGTCTCCACCTGTTGGGTGCCTGCCTCTGCCTGTTGGGTGTCTCTTTATCTGCTTCTGCATGTTAGGTGCCTGTCTCTGCCTGATGGATACCTGTCTGCTCAGTAGCTGGGTTGGCATGGGGCTTTCCCTTTGCAGGCCTGCAGGGAGGATGAGAAGGTGGCCAGAGGGCAGCCCTCAGGCACTGAGGAGGGGGAAAGAGAGAGGAAGGGAACGTGGTGAGGGTGTAGGCCTGGAGCTGGGAAACCACAGTCCCTGAGTGATTGGCTGTCCTGGGGCGGGCCCAGCCCCCGCCCTCACCCTGCACATCCGCCTTGGGCCCTTGGGCCCAGCAACCTCCGGGGCAGCCCCAGACGCTGCCTGTTCCTGCCATGGTGCTGTGGCCCTGCTGGGCGGATGGAGCAGGATCCCAAGCCGCCCCGTTTGCGGCTCTGGGCCCTGCTCCCCTGGCTGCCCAGGAAGCAGCGGCCCAGGATCAGTCAGACCTCTTTGCCTGCCCCTGGCCCTGGCTCTGGCCCCCAGCAGGACTTGGTGAGTGTGCCCAGATATTTGGTTATGGCCTGTCTGTGGCCCCTGAAGTAGATGCCTGGAAAGCCAGTTTGGCCTAAGCTGGATTTGGGCTTTCCTGGCCCAGGCCTGGCCGTGCTGGATGACTGGACCCTACCTAGACTTGCTTCCTGGGGATGTGAGGAAGCACTTCAGGGCTTCAAGGCAATAGCAGAAGAATGAAGGGAGGGCAGTGAGGTCCCAGAACAACTAGGCCCTGGCAAGGGGCTTTTTGTAGACTTGTATGAGGGACGTTTGGGAAGGTGGGGCGTGGAGTATCTGGCCTTAAGACTGGCACTTACTGGGTGGGTGGGGGTGTCCAGGTGGCTCTTGGGTCTCTGTGTATCTTAGTCCTATCCTGACTATAAAGGTCTCCTTATCCCATCCTGACCGGGAACAAAGGCCCAGCTCTACCTCCCTATATGAGAACAAACTCTACTTCCTATTGTGGCAAAACCAAAACATCAAGGGAGGGGAGCCTCACAGGGCAGACCTGGCGCGGGTTCTGGGCTTTAGTTAGAACCTGGGATTGGCTCAGCCTGGCCAACTTGGCCATGCTTGGGCATCCCTTTGGGCCTGACCACACCAGAGCATCAGGAGCAATAGAAGCCGTGTCTCATCTGGTTTGACCTCCCAGCCTTTGAGACCCTTTTGGTATCAATGAACCTGGAGACTGGCTCTGTCGTGGTAGTTGTCTGTTGGGCCTGTAGGCTTTGTCTGCTGAGGTTTGGTGGGAATGGACCTGGATGAGGGGTTTTGTGTCCTGCTACCTAGGACAGGGCCCACCATGCTGATGAGCTCTATTCCTGTGTCAGGATGAGGGCGTCCTCAAGGAGATCTCCATCACGCATCACGTCAAGGCTGGCTCTGAGAAGGCTGATCCATCCCATTTCGAGCTCCTCAAGGTTCTGGGCCAGGGATCCTTTGGCAAAGTGAGTCATGAGCCCTCAGCTGGGAGGGCAGCACTGGTCATGTCAGATGGAAGTCAAGGGTCACCTTGGGGCCCAAAGATCAGAGGGCAAGGGTGAGAGGTCACTTTGGTACCCAGGAAGAACAAATGGTCTACTTGAGCCTCAGGGAGGTCAGATGTCAGCTTGAGACCTAGAGGATAGGAGCTAACTGGCTCAGCCCCCACCCAGCTTCTCCTCTGCTTTCTTCCTCTGTCTTCTCAGGTCTTCTTGGTGCGGAAGGTCACCCGACCTGACAACGGGCACCTGTATGCCATGAAAGTGCTAAAGAAGGCAACCCTGAAAGGTGAGTGGGGGCACCTCCCTGTGCAGAGCCCAGGCTAGCCACAGGACTAAGGCAGCCCAGACCTCAGTGGCCTTGGGTCTAATAAGGGAAACAACTCTATCTCCAGGAGCACCTGGTTTGAACGTAGAGAAACAGGCCTACTCTCAGCCACCATTCCCCACACCCAAAAAGCCAAGTGCTAATAACTATGATTGTAAATGTTGGGAAGGAGATAGTGGGGTGAATACAATGTGTTTGTTGGTGGAGGGGGGTCTCACATATTAAGTTGGTCAGGCAGGGGTGTTCTGATTGTCAGCAGAGTTGCGTTACAGTGCTAGAAGAATCTGAGGGAGACTTCTGTGGCCTTTTGCTCAGGGTAGAGAAGGGCATAAGAGAGGCAGGGAGCCCAGGGAGGCAACTGGGCCAGGTAAGAGAGGGTCACCGAGCTGGATGGCAGGGAGGTTCAGACGGCAGCCCTGAGACAAGGTCTAAAGTTTTGGGGACTTACAAAGAGTGTGAGGATAGTTGGTAGTGAACTCGGGTTGAACGCTGATTCTTCGGCCTAGGAGCCAGTGCCACCACTGACCAGGTGGATTCCCCACCTTGGCTGGGGAGTGAATGGGAGCAGTCAGAGGTGTCCTTGGAATTAAGGACATTATGCCCCAAGGCCAGCCTGGTGGGAGTAGGAGTCATCCCCAGGAGACATGGTGGGAGCCACGTGGGAAAAGACTTGGTCCCTGCTGTGAAGGCTGGCGGGAAAGGCTAAACACTCCCTGGCAGTGCAGTGCGGCCAGTGCTCGGACTATTGTGCATGCAGCCTGGGTAGAGAGTGGGATGGGGTGCAGCCTCACAGAGGGTAGGCTCAGAGGTCAGGGATATATCTAAGGAGTAGTGAACTATGCCTTGAAGAATGAACTAGGAGTTCTGTAGGCCAAAAAGAGTAGAGGAGGGGTTCCTTGGGAAGGAGGAACTATTTGCCTGAGCAAAAGTATAGGTGGTCTGAAGATATAAGGTATATTTGGGAAACAGTGACTAAAATAGTTAACTCCATTATGGTCCCTGCTACGTCTAGTAAGGAAAGTATAAAAATTAAAATAGAGGACAAAAAATGCCCTGAAGTGAGAGAAACACAAGCACGGTAGAAGCCCAGAAGCCCTAACCCAGCTTAGTGGCCCTAACCCAGCTTAGAGGAGATGAGGCCTGAAATGAGTCAAAGAAGAAACTACTGAGGATCAGAATCGTCTGGCAACTTTTATTCCTTTTTTTAAAAAGTATGTGAGAGATAGAGCCTGCTAAGACCCATGAATCAAGATTTTAGACTCAGATAATTTACCTCTCTATTTCCCCAAATAGTCAATCTCATTAGCCCCAGACTAGAATTTGTGAATTTTTATACCAGATGGGGAGGGGGACTGGTGAAGGCATGCCAAAGGGTGGTATAGAGGCAAAATCTGAGGATCTGAGAAAACAGGGCACCCAAGGGAGCAGGACTGACTAGATCAAATGACCCTTGATGAGGTGTGGTGAGAGATGGGGAGAGAGATATGGACAGGATACCAAGGACCCAGGAGTGGGGGCAGAGAGTCAGATGAGGAGCCAGAAACAGTCTGGCAAAGAAGGAAGCAATCTGAAGATTGATTGTCCCCAAAGCCCTGGATGAGGGGTCCTTGAGGATTCAGACCTAGAGGAACAAGTAGAAAAGAGATCACTTAGCTGGGGCATAGGGAGTGGCTTGTGTTGGGTGGCTAGAATCTTGATGACTTCCTTTCTCCTCTGGCCAGTACGTGATCGTGTTCGGACCAAGATGGAGAGAGACATCCTGGCTGACGTAAACCACCCATTTGTGGTGAAGCTGCACTATGGTGAGACCACATGCCCTACCTGAGCTCCCACCACACCTAACCTTCACCCTTGACATGGTCTGCTGCCTTCGTTATACACTGTCCACCTCCCACCAGGCAGGCTAAGGGAGTCTGGGCCAGAAGGGCAGGTCTCGAGACCCAGCTGACTCTACCATTGCCTTCTCCCCTCCTCTTAGCCTTCCAGACCGAGGGCAAGCTCTATCTCATTCTGGACTTCCTGCGTGGTGGAGACCTCTTCACACGACTCTCAAAAGAGGTGAGCAGACATCCACTACCAGAGGACCCAGGATGGAGCTGGGGGGACAATGAAGCCTCCCATTGTGGGGCTGTGTAAAGAACATGTCCAGTATGGCCCGAACCTGGAACCACCCAGGCCAACCTGCCTAGCAGCCCCTGACCTAGAAAACATCACCCACCTGGGACAGAGGTCACATACTGAGAAAGCCTCTGAGAGTTTCTCTCAAGATGGGCTGAGGAGGAATAGAACCCGGATCTGATGCCACCTTGATTCTGGGAGGCTAAGGGTACCTCTTACCTCTCTACTTCCATTCTTCAAGGGCTGCTTTGGACAGGGCTGTGAAGATGGGGGAGATGCCCAAATCTATCAAGAAAGCTAGAGCCTTTAGCATTCTTGTCCCACAGGTTAACAGAAAAGATTTTTGAACTAATAAAATAGGATTTGAGCCAGAAAATGGGACCATTAATACAATTCAATCTTTAAAGAGAACCAAACTATTTTTTTAATGTTATTTTAATGTTTAAATAGGTAATACATTTACATGATTCAAAAGAAAAATATCCATCGAGAAGTCTTCCTCCCACCCCAGCCCCTTCTACCCCCCATAGGTAAACATTTTTATTGGTTTCTTGTTTAACCTTTCCATGTTCCTTTTGCAAACAAATCCAATATATGTCCTGAATCCCTACCTTCACTTCTTATATAAAATGTACCATTCTGTATACGTTGTTCTGTACCTTGCTTTTTTCAAGCTAGTATGTCTTGGAGATTACTCCATGTCGGAACATGGAGAAACTCCCTGTTCTAGTTTATGGCTGTGAAGCACTTAATTACATGGGGGAGAGAGTTTATTTCAGTCCTCTACTCCTGAACCCTTGGGCTGCTTCCAACCTTTTGCTGTTTCTGAACAATGCTACGATGAGTGACTTGTACATTAGTCATTTCTTTTTTTTTTTTTTGAGTTGAAGTCTCACTCTGTCACCCAGACTGGAGTGCAGTGGCCGCTTCCGGCCACCGCAGCCTCAACCTGCTGGGCTCCGGCGATCCTTCCGCCTCAGCCATCCAAGTACTGAAACAGGCACATGCTACCATGCCCGGCTAATTTTTGATTTATTGTAGAGATGAGGTCTCGCTGCCCAGGCGGGTCTCGAACCCGCGGGCTCAGGCAATCCACTCACCTCAGCCTCCCAAAGGCGTGGGATTACAGGCTGAGCCACCGAGCCCGGCTACATTAGTCATTTCATACTTCAAACCTCTAAAGGGTATATGGCCCTGGGGTCTCCAAGGGTCCTCCCAGAGTAGACCCTTAGGACTAGGAAGTTGCTGACTGCCCAGTATCCCACTCCTGAGAAACAGGTCTCCTCTGAAGCCTTCCTCTTGCCCATTGCAGGTGATGTTCACAGAGGAGGATGTGAAGTTTTACCTGGCTGAGCTGGCTCTGGGCTTGGACCACCTGCACAGCCTGGGCATCATTTACAGAGACCTCAAACCTGAGAAGTAAGTGAAGCCTCAAGTCTGACTCTGGCCTCCCCAGGGAGGTTTTTCTAGAACAGGATCACCTTGATGGGGTGAGTGTGGCTCTCCCCAGGAATATCCCCCTCTCTTAGGCTGCCTGGATGGGTAGGTGGGGTGGGTAGTGGCAGCAGCTATAGCACTGCCCGGTCACTAGTGCTATAATTACCAAGGGCCAGGCACCATTCATATGGGTGGATTGCCCACCTTTTTTACTTATCTGAGATGCTACCTTTAAAGGCCATTGCTTGATATGGCCCTCTCTAGAATTTTTCTTATTATCTAACAACTGGCTAGGTGCAGTGGCTCAAGCTTATAATCCCAGTACTTTGGGAGGCCGAGGTGAGGGGATTGCATGAGCCCACGGGTTGGAGAACAGCCTGGGCAATTTGGCGAGACTTCATCTCTACAAGAAAGCAAAAACTTAGCCGGATGTGGTGATGTGTGCCTGTAGTTCCAGCTACTTGGAAGGCCGAGGTGGAAGGATTGCCTGAGCCCAGCAGGTTGATGCTGGGGTGGCCATGAGCATGCCGCTGCACTCCAACCTCAAAAAAAAGAGAGATCTAAATACCCTCAAATGATAATTTGGGAGCCAGAGACAAGTGGTAAAGTAGAATGAAATCTGACTTTAGAGTTACACAGCCCTGAATTCAAATCCTGTCTTCACCTACTAGCTAGACCTGCTAGCGCTATGACTGTAGATAGTTACTTAACTTCCCTGAGCCTTAGTTTCCCCATTAGTAAAATGGGACTATAATAGTACCTACCTCACACAGTTGTTTTAAGGATTAGCAAAAAAGGTAGGCAACAGACCTGCATGGTACTGCCAACCACTCACAACACCCATCCATTCATCAGATAGATCTGGGCAGAGTCTCTCCCCTGGCCAGGCCACAGCCCCATGGTGCTACCAGCACCCACATAGTAGTCACAGCAGAGAGATTCTAACTCCCATCTCTCTCTTACAGCATCCTTCTGGATGAGGAGGGTCACATCAAACTCACTGGTAAGTGAGGGCATCTGCCCCTTGGGCCCCAGGGGAGAACTGAAGGAGCTCCTGATAGGTCTTGGCTGAGTGCTGCAGGCTCATTCTTCCTGAGGGGCTGTGCCAGTTACTTGGAAGTAGTCAAAAACCCAGGCCCTATACTTGAAACACCCTGGGTTTGAATCCCAGGTCCCTATTGCATAACTTTGGGCAAGTCACCTAACCTCTTTGGGCCTTAGCTTCCTCCTGAGAGTCATGGGGGTGATGCCCTCAGGCATCTGGGCGAGGGGGGAGGGTTGGATATGAGAAGGGTGGCAACAAGGAAGGCAGGGATCCTGAAGATGTGTCCCCCTACCCTCCTTGCTGCAGACTTTGGCCTGAGCAAGGAGGCCATTGACCATGAGAAGAAGGCCTACTCCTTCTGTGGGACGGTGGAGTACATGGCTCCCGAGGTTGTCAACCGCCAGGGCCACACCCACAGTGCAGATTGGTGGTCTTATGGGGTGTTGATGGTGAGTGCCCAGGCAGGGCTAAAGGATCCAGCCCAAGTCTCTGACCTCAGTTTCCCCATCTGTGTAGTGGGGGGGTTGATTGTCTCTAATGCTGTCCCCCTCTCCTTTCACAGTTTCACAGCCAAGTTGGTCTCACCCTTTAGGCAGCTGGTTTCCTTCCTTGGAAGGATCCCAAGCTTGACCCCAGCCCAGCTCTGGGCCTCTCCCCATTCTCAGTCCTCTAGTGCTGCTTCTGGTAGTCTGGACTGGCAGAGGCAAGAGGGACAGACACAATTCTTACTCCAGGTGGACTTGGATGTCCAACAGGCCAGCAAGAATCCTGGGACTGGAGTAGAGTGGCCTGGGTGAGAGGAGTCAGGGGGCATGGGAGATGGGGATCAGAGCCTGAATATACCCTTGTCCTTTGCAGTTTGAGATGTTGACAGGCTCCCTGCCCTTCCAGGGGAAGGACCGGAAGGAAACCATGACACTGATTCTGAAGTAAGCACCAGCCCTATCCTGACACCACAGGTCTCCCCCAACCCCTGACCCAGTTTGGGGGACAGGGTATTATCCTTTACCTTCCTTACATTCCCCCATTAATGAGACACTCCTCTGGGTTAAACATTATGCTTTTCAGAGCCCTCTTTTTGTCTACTGGGGCCTGTGGGAGGGATCGCTGAAGTCTTTGGGAAGTGAGTTCATGGATGGCTAGTCTGAGCTGAGCTGGGAACTAGACATGGACAGAAGGGGAGGGGAAATGGGGCCTCTGAGGTGGGGCTCAGCTCTGATGAGACCCGGGGGCTGTTTCAGGGCAAAGCTAGGCATGCCCCAGTTTCTGAGCACGGAAGCCCAGAGCCTCCTGCGGGCCCTGTTCAAGCGGAATCCTGCCAACCGGCTCGGTAAGCACCCCCAGCACGGGAGGGGATGTGGCGGTGGAGAGTGGGGTACAGCTGCAGCCTAGGCCACAGGGCCACATCTGGGGCTGAAAGGGGCCGTTGTCCTTTGTGTGGGCAGACAATGCCGCGGGCCGCCCTGCCTTCTGGCTCCATGTGTGGCGTTGTGGAGGGGGGGTTGACCTGTGTGTAGGGGGAAGGCAGGAACTGAGTCATCCTCACTCCCTCTGGGGACAAGGACAGAGGTCCCCACACAGCTTCTCTGCCAAGGCTGCTGGCACAAGAGAAAGAGCATGAGCTCAGGAGTCAGAAGGCTCAGGTCCCAATCCTGGCTCTGTGTCAGATCCCCACCACCTGGCACAAATCATAAAATTGTTGAAGGAATGAGTCCCATTTAAGATCCAAGTGACCCAGGGCAGGTGACTTCACCTCCTTGAGCTCCAGATTCCTCGTCTTGAAGGGAGATGATGATCCCAGGCTATCTGGCAGGGCTCTGTTGATTAAATGAGGTTGTGTGAATGTACCTGGTGGGTAGTAGGTGTTCAGTATGTGTTGGTTTCCTTGGCTTCTGTGTTCCTCTGGTCGAATGGTGTGAGAACCTGACTCATGGTTGAAAAGGGCAGTAGTATAAAAGGAACAGAGATGAAACCTGTATCAGGATGAAGTGGGAGCCCCTTGTAGATCTTGGAACAAGTCTAACCTCTGTCCTGACTATGTGGCCTTGGACAAGTTGGCTAACCTCTCTGGGCCTTCCTTCTCTCACCAGTACCTTGAAGCTTGATCATCAGAGGCTCTGAAAAGTGGAAAATGCTATGTGGGCAATAGGCCTTAGGGTGAAGTCTGGGTGGATTTGGGATAGGGTGAACCCATTCTCCTCCTGCTCTAGCAGCCTGTCCCAGAACTCTGTGAAGCTGCTTGATGGGCAGGTTGGTGTCTGGGGTTTGGACCATCCAGGGGCAGACTCTTCATTTGGGCTCTTTCAGGCTCTGGCCCTGATGGGGCAGAGGAAATCAAGCGGCACACCTTCTACTCAACCATTGACTGGAATGTGAGTGTGTATATCCCCACCAGGGCTCTGGCCAGGGCTTCAACCATGGAGGTGGTGGGAGGGAGGCTTTAGATGCAGGAGCAGAGGGTGACAGCATGCCGTTGGAAGCAAAGGCTGGACTCTTAAAGGCAAGCAACTATGCCCTTGTCTGCTGGGCAGCATGGCCTATGCCCCAGGCCCAGTGCCTCGTCTTGCATGGTGCTCCTGGTGGGCTCTCAGGGGTGCTGTGGTCACCAGAGCACCCACCACATGTTGCAGAAGCTGTACCGTCGTGAGATCAAGCCACCTTTCAAACCAGCCGTGGCTCAGCCTGATGACACCTTCTATTTTGACACCGAGTTCACATCCCGCACACCCAAGGGTACGTCCCTTGTCTGATTTGTCTGTCTTGGGCCAGGTCAAGAGGGAAGAAGGGAGTTGGGGGCATCTTAGGATGCGGGGATGGTCAGGGACTCTGGCAGGCCAAGGTGTGTGGGTGGACAGGCGGGTGATTTTTTGGCACATGGGAATCTGACTTTGTTCCTGTCTCACTCTGCCTGACTCTCCCACTCTGGGACTCTGTAGGCCTCTTTGTGTCTGGGTAAGGGAGTGGGGATGTGTGGGTGGCTAATGCCACAATAGAAAAGTCAGGACCCCTGCCCTGGGCATCTTCCAGCCCACTGAGAAGACCAAACACTTCAGACTTACCCTCACGTCAGGGATAAAGAATCTGACCCAGCAACACTGTGCAGTGGAGACAATCTGGCTGAGCAGAGGTGACAGTGCCTTCAGGTCAGGGGCAGGCGTGGGAATGGGCTTTGGCAGGTCTGACGGGCCTCAGTGTACTCATCTGGAATATGAGCACATCCACAAACCCACCCATTCCCTGGGATTGCTGCAAGAAGCCAATGAGGGAGCTTCTGGGAAGGAGCTTGGTAAATTCCTTTTGGCTAGATATTGGCAGTGGGTGAGGGTGGCGGAGGAATGTTGGTTCTGGGAGGCCTCCTAGAGGGGCGTGTTTTAGCAAAGGGATGCTTTTCTCATTGCGGCTCACACCTCTGATGACAGGGAGGTCAGTACTTCTCTAAGTAGTGTGTCTCGTCTTTTATTCGCTTATCTGGCAAATATGTACCAGGTCTCTACCATGTGCTAGCCATAGGGGCATTGATGGTGAACAAGACAGCTATAGGCCCTGCCCTCTTATGGCTTAAGTCATTGTTGAGGGAGAGGCATGAAAACAGCTGCTGGACAGAGTGACAAATGCAACTTCATAGGAGTGAGGGGCCAGAGAAGCAAGCATCAGGCAAGACTTCTTAGAGGAGGGAGCGGGTGAACTAAGGCTTGAGGACTAGGCAAGGAGTAAATTATGTAGTCAGAGGGAACAGCATGTGTAATGGCTCATAGACTCCTTTAAGGATCCAGGAAATCCAGCATGCATAGCTCAGTTTAGAGAGGGAGCTAAGATCACAAGGACCTCAGCTGCCAGACTAAGGAGTTGGGCTTACTTCTGAGGCAGAGGGGAACCTAAGGAGTTGGGCTTACTTCTGAGGCAGATTTGTGGCTGGAACCATCCTTCTGGTTATTGTGCAGGGATGGACCTAAAGGGGCCTATCCCAGGTAGGGAGGCAGGGAAGGAGACATCCAGGAAAGGATGAACTATCTTGGCCTGGGCTGGAGGTCGGAGTGAGAGTCTTTTATGCTCCTTGTGTGTAGGGACTGGATCAGTCTAAACACACATGAGCAGCTGGGCTAAGGAAGGCCTGGGGTGGATGGGCCCTGTGCATGCCCCCACCACGGCCAGCTACTGAGGCAGTCCTGGAAGCCCTATTGCCCCTGTTTGCTGGGCTGCCCTGGAGTCAAGGGCACCTCCTCAGGCTCACCTCCCCCTCCCATCCCTACAGATTCCCCAGGGATCCCCCCTAGTGCTGGTGCCCATCAGCTGTTCCGTGGCTTCAGCTTCGTGGCCACTGGCCTGATGGAGGACGACGGCAAGCCTCGTGCCGCACAGGCACCACTGCATTCAGTGGTACAGGTGAGGGAGGCAGGGGACTGCTGCTCAGTTGTCCTTTTCTACCTAGAAACCACATGGCAGAATGGCTGAGAACACAGGCTCTGACCTGGGTCAAACCCTGATGCCACCATGGAACCCATAGAGCCTCCAACCTCCTTAATCCTCACTTTGACCATTTCTAAAAAGGGGACAATAATGCTTACCTTACATGGTTGGCCCTGATAATTGGATATCAACATGTATATAAATTTCCTAGCATAGAACAAGGATATGGGGGGCCATGACTGTCAGGTCCCTTACAAGACGGTAGGAGGGGTCTTGTGTCTCTTCATACTTGTCTCCTAATTACATACTTTCATTTCTTCATGGAAAGTTTAGAGAAGTAAGCACATAAACTCCAGAGCTTATTGCCCTGATTCAGGGCTTATAAAGTATCTTATAAAGATACTTCCCGGCCGGGCTCAGTGGCTCAGCCTGTAATCCTGCACTTTGGGAGGCCGAGATGAGTGAATTGCCTGACCCTGTGGGTTCAAGACCCGCCCAGGCAACTTGGTGAGACCTCATCTCTACACTAAATAAAAAATTAGCCGGGCATGGTAGCGCATGCCTGTACTTCCGGTTACTTGGAAAGCTGAGGCAGAAGGATCACCAGAGCCCAGCAGATCAAGGCTGCGGTGGCCGGGAGCGTGCCACTGCACTCCAGTCTGGGCAACAGAGTGAGACTCCAACTCAAAAAAAAAAAGATACTTCCCTTGCTGGTGCTTTACTTTCCTTATCTGTAAATGGAGATAATGATAGAACCTTTCTACATAGAGTTATTGTGAGGATTACATGAGTTAATATAAAGTTAAGGTGACTATGCAATTTATTATTCAAACTGAGACATCTTTGTCCAGGACAAATGTTACACCAGACTAGGTGCAAGAACAACAGGCACAAACGAGGACTATCCACAGGGCATGCAATCACCAGATAAAAGTGCTTAGACTAGTGCCTGGCACCTAGCATACACTAAGCACCCTATGAGCATCTGCTATTGTTAATGTCTCAAAACTTTCAGACACCTCATGAACTAGGCCATGACACTCCAGAAAGGAGAGACAGCTCATCCAAAGCCACAGTATATGGCAGAACTGGGACCCAACTCAGGGCTCCTGAGTCCCTTTGAGGCCTTCCCAAGCAGAACCACAAACCTCTCCGTGTGTACTGTGACTCTTTTGCCCATCCCCTGTACCACCCTCTGACCAGAGATTACAGCCCATGCAGGTGGGGAGTCAGTGAGTGTGCTCATAATAGAAAACTGAGGCCCAGAGAGGGGCAGGTTCTCACCTGCGATCACATGGCCAACCCTCTACCTCCAGGCCTCATGACTCTTCCCTGGTGCCATCTCCACTGATCCAAGAAGACCTTGGGTGTTGGGGGATAACTGCTGGCACTCTGGGGCCAGGGGTCAGCCCTACCTTTTGGTCTCCTGCAGCAACTCCATGGGAAGAACCTGGTTTTTAGCGATGGCTACGTGGTAAAAGAGACGATCGGTGTGGGCTCCTACTCTGTATGCAAGCGCTGTGTCCACAAGGCCACCAACATGGAATATGCTGTCAAGGTGGGCTTCCTGTCCCTGTCAAGGCCGCCGGGCTGTGGGTGAGGCCAGTGTAGGTGTGGCCCTCCGGTGGGGTAGGGTGGTGCCTGAGACTCTATGGATATATGAAAAGTGTGCAGTTGAGACCCCCTCAGGCCCTGCCATGTGGGTTTTAAATGGCAGGGAGGGACCCTGGAGTCTATCACCCTCATTGCTGCCACATGTACCCTCCTTTCTTCAGGTCATTGACAAGAGCAAGCGGGACCCCTCAGAAGAGATTGAGATTCTTCTGCGGTACGGCCAGCACCCCAACATAATCACTCTGAAAGATGTGAGTGTGTGTCCTTGAGACTGGGGTGGGAACTAGGCCACTCAACTCTCTAGGATTTGTCTAGGGGCTGCCATTCCTTTGATTGCTGATCCTTCCAGTGCTTGTGGGAGGGAGAAGGAAGAGGACCTTGGTGCCACCAGTCTGGCCACACCCCGAAGGCCCAATACTTCAGACTCGGGCATTCTCTGAGAGTTTTCCTGCCCATCAGGAGTTTTCCTGCCCTGTTAGTATCCCCATCCAGGGAGTACAGGAGCCCAGATAGGTGAAGACCCTGTCAGGGCCACTGAAACACAAAGCAGAACACATGCCTAGGCCTCGTGTCATTCTTCCCTGGTCCGGGGAGCTGCTAACCAGGGGCCCAGGCCTGGCACTGGGGAGAGGGACCTGATGGTGAGGTCTTTGGCAGGTATATGATGATGGCAAACATGTGTACCTGGTGACAGAGCTGATGCGAGGTGGGGAGCTGCTGGACAAGATCCTGCGGCAGAAGTTCTTCTCAGAGCGGGAGGCCAGCTTCGTCCTACACACCATCTGCAAGACTGTGGAGTATCTGCACTCACAGGGGGTGAGTCTGGATTGCAGGAGCTGGAGAGGGGGTTCATCAGCAGAGTGTGTGAACCATGGCCTGGCCCAAAAGTGGCTATCTCTAACTAGCCTGACTGAAAGGAGACTAGGAATAGGTAGGTGGGATAGGGAGGAAGGGAAGGAAAGATGTGGCCAAATTGTGAAAGGGAATGTTTATTCGGCACCTACTACATGCCAGGCAGCATCCTAAGGTTTAACGTAAGGTAAAGTTTCCTTGCATTATCTCAGTAGAGATGTACAACAACCCTGAGGTAGATGCTGTTATTCTCTCCACTTTACAGGTAAGAAGACTAAAACTCAGAGATGTAAGGTCATTTGCCCAAGGTCACACAGCCAGAGGAGAATGGAGCCAGAATGTCAGACTGAGAAATTTGGGTAGAGAGTGGTTTTTAAGTTAGGAAGCGGCAGGGTCACTGTGGGAGCTGCAAGGCGTTAGGGAGCTGAATTTGGCCATGGGTTTGTTTGCTAAGACAAAGGAAGTGGATGCAGGAGGAAATGCTGCTGGAAACACAGCGGGTGCTACAGAAGTGTAGGTCTGAACAGCAGAACTCGGCCTCTATTATTGCACAAGGCAAGTAAGCACTAGATGACAATGAGCCAAGGCTGCAGAACTGAAAGGAGGTAGAACATTTCCTTAAGATGTGTTAAAGTCGAAAACAGCAGAGTTAATGTGAGATTCTCTCCAAATGAGGTGATGTTTTAGGGTGCTTCTGATCAGACATTGTGGGGTTAAGAATACAGGCTCTGGAATCTAACTGGCTGAGTCCAGCTCTTGGCTTCTTAGCTTACCTGTGTGTGTGGTTGAGAAACTCGCTTCACTCCTCTAAGCTTTTTCCTCATCTGTAAATTCATGATAACAAGAGCTGGCACTTGCAGGGTGATTGTGAATGAAGCAAGGCAGGTACTTTTCTGGGAAAGCACCATGATCCAGTGCAAACTTGTGCCAAACACCACCTAAACGTGAGGGGAAACTAGGACCAGACCAAACATATGCAAAACTACAAAGAACAGTGTAATGAACACCCCTACATCACACAAATTCCAGAATTGTCAGGATTTTTGTCACACTTGCTGCTTCTTTCTCTCCTGCCCTTCCTTCTTCCCTCTCTCCCTTCCTTCCTTCATTTCTTTTTTGTCATTGCTAATGAATTTTTCTCAACTTTTCATGAGAAAATTCAAATCTACAGAAAAGTTAAATGAATAGTACAATCAAAACAGTTTTCCTCTAAATTAACCAAATACTAACAGCATGCCACATTTGCTTTCTTTCTCTTTTTCTGTCTCTCTCTTTAAATAAATATGCAGTATTTTTTTTTGCAGATGCACTTGAGATGAAGTTATAGACCTTATAACACCTGATCCATAAATATCTATAACTAAGATATTTTAAAGCATGGCCCAGACCTCACATCATTTTAGTTGTCTATATTTCTAGAAACAGTTAATATTTTCTTTTATAACAACTAACAAAATTAACAATTACTTGTTTTCACATAGTATCCAATCCATAGACACATTTTCCCTATTGTGCTTTCAAGCATTTCTTTTTTTGGGATCGGTTTGAGTCACAGTCTCTGCAAAGTCCACACATTTCATTCAGTTGGTATATCTTAGGTCTCTCTTTTTTTCTTTTTACTGAATTAAAATGAGCATACAGCAGATCTTACACGTTCAATTCCATGAGTCTTGTTAAATATGCACATCCATGTTATCTCCGTAGTCAGACCTCCTGTCTTTATGTCACTGACTTGTTGAAGATATCAGTTCTGTGGAATGTCCCACATTCTGAATTTGTCTGTTTGCTGCTTCCTGGCATCATTTACATTGTTTTTTTATTGTGTATATTTTCTGTAAACTGAAAATTGCTTTAACATCTCTCTTAAATTCTGCTTCAGCTTTTTATTTTTATTTTTTTGAGTCAAAGTCACACTCTATTGCCCAGATTGCAACGCAGTAGCACACTCATGGCTCACTGTGGCCCTGATCCCTTCAGTTCAAGTAATCCTCCCGCCTCAGCCTCCTGAGCAGCTAGGACCACAGGCACAGGCCACCATGCCCAGCTAATTTTTTAAATTTTTTGTGGAGACATGGTGAAACATGTCTCCACACCATGTTTCCCAGGCTTGTCTTGAACTCCTGGGCTCAAGTAATCCTCCTGCCTTGGCTTCCCAAAGAACTAGGATTACAGGCATAAGCCACCATGCCCAACATCAACTTTTGGGTGGGAGGAGGGATGATAATGAGGTTTAGAAGGCCAAGATCGAGCCGGGCTCGGTGGCTCAGCCTGTAATCCCGCACTTTGGGCACTGAGGTGAGTGGATTTGCCTGAGCCCGCAAGTTCGAGACCCATCTGGGCAACTTGACAAGACCTCATCTCTACAATAAATCAAAAATTAGCTGGGTGTGGTAGTGCGCGCCTGTAGTTCCAGCTACTTGGATGGCTGAGGTGGAAGGATCGCTGGAGCCCAGCAGGTCGAGGCTGCGGTGGCCAGGAGCGGCCACTGCACTCCAGTCTGGGTGACAGAGTGAGACTCCAACTCAAAAGAAAAAGAAGGCCAAGATCACCCACTCTATAGAGGTGCACATCACATTGCATCACATCTGTCAGCATACAGCATCACATTGCTCCTTCTTTAGTTGTGTCCAGTGTTAGCAGTCTGATCTCCTCATTTGAAAGAGACTCATCCGGCCGGGTTCAGTGGCTCAAGCCTATAATCCTAGCACTTGGGGAGGCCCAAGTGAGAGGATTACCTGAGCCCACGGGTTTGAGATCATACTAGGCAACTTGGTGAGACATCATCTCTACAATAAATCAAAAAATTAGTTGGGCATGGTGGCACGTGCCTGTAGTTCCTATTACTTGGAAGGCTGAGGCCGAAGGATCACTGGAGCCCAACACGTCAAGGCTGCCGTGGCCATGAGTGTGGCACTGCACTCCAGCCTGGATGACAGAGTGAGACTCCAACTCAAAAAAAAAAAAAAACCTCATCTAATGGTTTCATCCTTTAGGATCTTGGCTTGAATCAGTTATTTCATTAGGGTTTACAAAGCTGGCAATGTCTGATGATGTCTAATTTATTAGGGAAATTCTTTTGTAAAAAATAACTTTACCTCATAACCCAAGCTTTAATTTAGTTACCACATGTGCTTTTAATGGTTATGCTTCAAGTGGCTTTGGTTTTTTGAAATAGCAGTACTAGCAAACTAATATTTAAACATGTCAGGTCAGAGAGTAAATAGGTTTCCTTTTTATTTCTGTTTTGTGCTTTAGTGAGTACTAACTAAACTTACTAAACCAAGAAGATTTAGAAGACAGCCATGAAAGAAATAACTTTTTAAAGAAGGGCGATACCTCCAAAGGTCACGAGCCATTTCCACTGGACGTGTGCAAACTTCAAGTACAGACAGCCCCTTGGTGGGGATGTGATTGGAGGAAATTGTCCCCTTCCCAAAGCCAGGAGTCTGTGGGTTTCCTAAGTTTCTGGTGCTTTGCAAATACCAGAGGCAGATGATGAAGAAATGGGAAGCTTTTCTTGTTGAGATATTTGGAGGGAATTCTCTGGGTTTATTTGGTGTTGGCAGTAGCTGTGGTCTGTAAGCTGGGAATCCCACTGGAGCTGAGGGATGGGAAGGGGATACCAGGGAGCAGGGTCCACTGGGACCCCTATTTGTTTTTTTTTTTTTTTTTTACCCCCTGCCCCCTCACTCCTATTTGTTTTAATATTATCTTTTAATTAAAGTATTACATAAACACAGAGAAGTATATGAATCATAATGTATAAGTCAATAAACTTTCAAAAAGTGAATAAACACATGTAACCAGCACTCAGATCAATAAACAAAGAATTTCCAGTTCTACTTAAAGTCCATCACCCAAGGATAACCATTCTAAGCTAACTTCTAATAGCTTTGTTTTTTCTGTTTTTAAATTTTATATTAACATTCTCTTTTGAATCTGAATTCTGCCGTTCATTGTTGTCTTTGAGATTCACCCACATTGCTATATGGTTGCAGTTCATTCACTGTCATTGCTGTGTAAAATTCTACTGTATAAATAGACTATTAATTAATTGTCCATTCTACTGTTAATAGAATGGATTGTTATCAGTCTTTTGTTGTTGTTTTACTATTACAAATAGTACTGCTGAGCCATTCTAGTACTTGTCTTTTGGTGAGTATATCATATTTTATTTATTTATTTATTTATATTTTTTATTAGAGACCCAGACTGGAATGCAGTGGTGTGATCATAGCTCACTGTAGCCTCAAACTGCTGGGCTCAAGTGATCCTTCCTCCTCAGCCTTCTGAGTAACTGTAACTACAGTCACATGCTACCATACCCATCTGATTTTTTATTTTTTTCAGAGATGAGGTTTCACTATGTTGCCTAGGCTGTTCTCAAACTCCTGAGCTCAAACAATCCTCTCACTTTTTTCCCCCTTTGGATATAATTTAGTTTTTAAAGCATAAACATGATGCATATAATTTAAATGTCCCTGAAGGAAAAAAGAAGGCCAACACCTACAATTTCTGCAACCTGAGTGAGGCATTTTCTTGCCAGTTGGAAGCCTGAGTGGAGTAGACAGCCATATTTCTGTAGTGAGTTTGGCTGCTAACAGTTTGCTTCTGGTATTGAACTGACAGGCGAATCCTCCCACTTTGGCCTCCCAAAGTTCTGGGATTATGGGCATGAACCACCACACCTGGCCAATTTTTTAATTTTTATTTTTTGTAGAGACAGAGTCTTGCTATATTGCCCAGGTTGTTTATGTACATCTTAATATTGGTTGTATACCTAGCAGTCGAATTTCTGGGTCACAGTGTTTGCTTGTTCATCTTTAGTAGATATTGCCAAACAACTTTCCAAAGTGGCTTTACCAATTTATATTCCAATCAGAAATGTTTAAGAATTCTGGTACTTGCTAACACTTAGTATTTTCCATCTCTTTAGTCACAGCCATTCTGTTGGGTGTGGAGTG